ATCTAAAACTTGATAAAAAACACAGTCTGATTTCATGTATTTTGGATTCATATTATAAAGCAAGGTGATTGCCAAAAGTGCATAGAGCAAGGGAAAGAGAGGCAAGAGGAGATCAAGAAGGTGGTTGTAGCTCCAGCAACTCACTTGCAAACTGCAACCAGGCTTATGTCCTGGATGTGGTAGTTGGCTTCTAAGATACCTGAAGTACCAAAGAAATTGCAAGGTCTTATTTGGCAGACCTGTTCTCCTGTGCTCCTTGTTTCAATTCTAATAGAGAAAAAAAGGAAGGAAGGAAGGGAGCAAGGGAGGGAGGGAGGGAAGCAAAAATAATCACTGAGATTGAATACTGAATGTTTCCTTGCTTAAGGTTCTTGCTTTTTGCTCTCACATGAAGTTCCCCCTCAGTTTAAGTATGAGGGAGGGTGGGAGGGGAAAGCATTCACTGAGTGAATCTTCATGGTGATTCAGAACATTTTAGGTAGATGCTGTCATATGCTTCGTAAGTTCCTGACTGATTGTGTGGAATTAAGTTATTGGGCAGAGAACCAGTTAATGGAAACACATTGATGAAATCATTTTTGAGGGACATTAAATGGAACTTAAAATAAAGCTGAAATGGCTGTATGGATTTTTCAGTCAAACTGTTTATGAACATTTATTGGTGGTAAATTAGAGAGTGTCAGAAGAGGGAATCAAGTAGGTATGGCTTTTAATAGGAGTCACTCTGATATAATACTGTGAGAAGGAATAGTTTATTGCCTAGGGATGTATGATACAGTATGTTTAAGTACAAATTATATGATTGTTTTCTTCTAAATGTCTTTGGCTGTTTGCAGGTGAGCTGCCCTTAGCAGCAGCAAGTCTCGGAAGGCAAAAAATATTTTCAATACTTGGCAATGAAATGGAAATTTTATACTATGCATTTTTCATGTTGGATAGCAAATGTTTTAATAAAGGATAATTCAGGAAGCAGAAGCTGTGTTACACAATAGTAAATTTAATTTACTTTTGTTTTATGTTTTGCAAAAGGAGAAGACGGATAGAGTATCTTTGCTTGAGAAGGGAGATTGCAGCAGCTAAGTCTTCCATTGTTGGAGCTGTGCATTAGTACTGTTTGCCAAAACCCAGCATTCCTAGGGTAGGTAGTAATGAAAATAAGCCTGTGGGAATGCAGGATGGCAAAGCACCTTCTGGTCTTGCAAATCCTGTTTCCCACACCTTGCAGTCATGAGTTTGTCGAGTCTGTTAGGTTGTCTGTCCCATCCACTGTAAGAGAAAAGTTGTTCCTGTTTTCACTCCTCTGCTGCTCCCTCCCCCCCCCCCCCCCAAAAAAAAGAAAAAAAAAAGAAAAGAAAGAAAACTGTTTTTTTCTTCCTTAATGTATTTGGAAACAGTTTACTGCTATTTGCTCACATGCCAACTTTGGCCTATAGCCAGTAGTTCTTCTTCCTTTATGTTATTTATCCTCCTAATGTGTTTATACACAGCATTCATATCCTTCCTTCACCATCGTGCTGCTATACTAAAAAACCTAGTCCTTCTAGCCTTCTTTTGTAGGGCAGGCTTCTTCAGTTCCTGCAATCAGACAGTGTTTTCTGTCTGCACATGATCCTCGAGTGAGGATGAGCTGGAGGCTACATTAAATTCAATTCAAGGATTCACTGGTTATTCTTAAAATAATGCCAGTCTTTTCTTGTTCCCATGTTTCTGTTAGTCTTGCCTCTTCTCATGCGGTTTAATGACACGCTTGCCTTTCATTTGGCCCTGTCCTACTGCTATGAATCATGAGTACCCCATGGCCTCTTTATGGGACGTTCCCATTCAGGGAGCATCCAGCGTGGAGCAGAAATCCTCATTTCTCTCTAAGCACATGACCTTGGATTCCTATTTTTAAATTGCACCCTCTCCCTTCTACTCCCTAAGGCTACTCATTCATTTCACCATGACAGCCCAGTCCTCTGCAGAGCCAGGACAGCCTAATTCCATGTCAACAGCATATTTCTCTCAAACTTTCCTTCTTTTTGTGCCAAGGCCATTAGTAAAAATTTTAAATGAGGTCACTTCCTCCAGCCTAAAGATTTCACTTTCAACACAGTCCAACACTGATGCTGTCACTGCCTGGCTGGGAACTTCTGTAGTGGTTGAGAGACAGACTTTGGCACAAATGTCCAGTGTAGTTGAATTTTTCCAGATGTTTATCACCGTATGGAGGCACAGGGGGAGGCAGTGACCAAGGCTTTTCATGGAAAATAGAAAAGTGGTGGAATTGGGCACGTTTCCAAATTTATAATATTTCAGATAGCACAAAAAAGAATGGAGAATGGTTATTTACTATTTCTCACAGTCCAGGGCAGGATGAGCATCCAGTGAAATCATCAGGCTGCAAGGTGAAACAAAGGATGGACTTGTCCAGAGCATTTAGTCCAACTGCGGGCCCCCTGGTAGAGAACTGTGGACAGTAAAATCATGATGAGGTTGAAAAACAGAGGTGAGAAATGTTTACCAGTGTCTCTCTGGTGGCTGGATGACAGCCAGCCCTCAGAGACCTTCGGCTGATGACAGCCAGAGCCGAGGGAGGGATGGTGTAACCCTGGCTCCTCAGCATCCCTTGTGGCTGCTGTCCTACACGGTGACAGGGACAGGCAGCCCTGTGGGAGATCTCCTGTGCTTAAGAGGGAATAATAAGAATTGATGCTGTCAAGGCAGGTGGCATTCATTTCTAATTCGTATTGAAGGAGTGAAGCGGAAAGGTTTGGAAGTCTCGTTTCTGTTCCCAGTGATAGGGGACTCTTCCACAGATTTGGGAATGATGAACACAGAAGAAGAGGGTTTAAGGACTGTGTGAAGGGAAAGGAAAACCAGGGGATGGGTGAAAGGAGAGGAAGCCTTTTTCATTTTCAGTCTTCCTGAAATAACTGCATTGGAGTCTCCACTAGCTTAGTTTCCAGAGTTGCTTTCTATGTTCAAAGAGATAATGAAAGACTGGAATATTCCAGGTCATTAGAAGTATGCCAGTTCTCCTCATCCTGCAGGTGTTCTGCTTACTTGCAGATCTCACACTTAGTGTGTAAAAATGAATGAAAATTACTGGCATAAACAAAGTCACCTGTTGAGCGATGCAAGTGGGGAAAGTGGTAGAATATCTCCCTGTACCTCTCCCACAGCACTTTCTCATCTTCCTCACCTCAAAAATCATTATTTTATTATGCAATGGGTGCAGGCTACATCTTTCAATAAGTTTCATTGGAAGGCTAATAACCAAGGCAATTGTGTGGATAAGCAGAGTCTTAAATTGTTTGGAAACTGTTGAGAGAGGACAGATCAGATAATAATAACCTTCATGGTTGGCAAGCTGCACCTGCTTCTGACAACTTGTAACAATGAAGGCTTATAGTTAACTTAAGAGCTAAATATCTGTATTGGGCCATGGAAGCAATTTCAATTCCCAAGTATAAAGCTTCAGACTTTAGACTGCTTTTGTCATTTTTGAGATTACTTTGTTTTTCTCTAGGTTAAAAAGGAGTTGTTTTTTTGTTTTACAGACGTTGAGAGTGATTATTTTCATTCCATTTTTTTCTGTTAACTCATAGGGATGGCTTCATTAATCTATCTCAGTGCAAAGACAGTGTACTCACATCAAAGCCATGAGTGTTTCTCCCTTATAATAGTAGTTACAAAAATGTGTTGTGTTTACATTTTGCATCGTCTTCCAATGTGCTCATAGGTAACAATTTTAATAGGACATATTAAAAACAATCTCAAACATATCTAAATGATCCCATCAGGGTCTGTAGCTGGCATCAGAAGCTTTATCAAAGAAAAAAAAATAAGGACATTAAAAAATGCCACTGGTACAGTTTGCATGCAGACACTGAAATTGCTGTGAGGAACGCAGATAATGAATGGCTAGTTGGTCACAGTGTAAATGCATGTAAGGTCTGGATGTAGGAATGTAGGTCAAATTTGTTCCTTGGGTAGACAGCTATGTTCAGGACAACAGGAACATGAATTTCTTGTTCATTGCCATGGGTAAGACTACATCATTCACTGATGTGCTAGCACTGAATGTTTCAATGAGGACGATAAGTGGCATAATGCAGCATGGAGGGTTGGTGACACCCCCTGGGGACAGCTGTGTCCAGTGCTGAGGTCTCAAACAGCATGTTTTAGAAGGGGAATGGGTTCAGAAAAGAGCAGTAGAAAGTCTGGAAAACATGAATGATTCATGTTCACAGAACAGAAAGCCATAACATTTTGGAGAACTGAAGAAAAAGTTGAGGTGGTTGGGTCATTGTCACTAAATAAATGCAGGAGAAAGGTGAAGATTTGTGTTCATGCAGTGTCCATTGGTTGGCATGCAAAGATGTAAGAACATTTAGTGGAAGGAACAATTCTGATTAGATGCCCTTTTTAAAATTAGAACAATTAGTGGAAAAGCTTATTTTATGGGCTCTCTTTGGCTTAGAAATGAAATTTGGAGAGCACATTTTTCTAAAGAGACACAGTGTGGCTCATTTGTGGACCTGTTGCAGAAATGACAAGAGCACAGCCTGACCTGAGAGATGCCTGCAGTAATTGAGCCAAAATTTGGTTTTCCTTTGATTATTTCTCAGAGCCCAGCAAAAGAAATAATTTCATGACATGCATCCAGGTTCATTAGTGAGAGATGTAGCTGCATTGGTTATTAAAGAGGTATCTGTTCCAAGCTCCCTGCATCAGCTGGGGGTCAGCAAACACCTCCCATATTCAGGACACAAATTTTACAGCCTGAAGTGCAGCTTACAGGCAAATCCCAATTGTAATTGAGACAACCAATTTCAGATGATAAGGATTTAGCTTTTCCTGGGGATAGAAGGGGTGTGTGTGAGAAAGAAATGGGGTCAGGCAATGGGGAAATGGGGTCAGATTAAAATTGCACCTAGGTATGATTTGACAATCACTCCCCTGATAACAGCTTATAATGTTTACAATTTGTCTTCTGTTTTGTTTTGTGATTTCAGGAGCAGAAGGCACAGTGTTCCCTAAATCTATAGAAACTCCCAATGTCAGGGCAGACCCCTTCAAGGAACTAAGGTAAACTTTGGAATATGGTTTAACGGTAACTCAGTGGTGCCTTGCTGGGCATCATTTCTGCTTTTGCACAGGAACCTGGGGCTTTGCTTTGGATGGCATCACCAAGGGGATGCCATGGAAGAGAGGGATCTTCCATGTTTATGTCTAATATGACAGAGCTAAAGGCAACTGTGGGTGATGAGAGAACCATTTCTCCTGTGTAACACACTCTGCTTATTTTGGGCTCAGCCTTTGGAAAGAAAGAGAAAAATCTTTCTCCTGGGTGTGCAGGGAGGTACTGGAGTCTGTGCTGAGTCACAGGGTGTAACAGCACAATGATAATGCTCTCCAGCATTGTCTGTCTTGCAGAAATGCAAACCCTCCCTAATCTATACCAATTCCAGCTGTGCATGCATGTCACTGCTGAGCCTTGCAGTCACCACTTGCTGACAGCAGGTATGAGGAGAACTAGTTTTCCCAAAATCTAATGGATCTAATGCTGGGCAATGTACTTTAAAAAGAATGTTAAAGTCTCTATGTGTTAGTTTGGATGATTGGTCTCTGGAAAGATATGGCCTAATCTGAAATCTTCTGGCCGAAAGGGCTGTAGGGGGTTTCTATCAGTGTTTTAATTTTTCTTGCTTAGAAAAAGAGAGAAAAAGAGGGGAAAAAAAATCTGCATGTCATCTTGTCCTTAGATCTTGGGTTGCAAATACAGCTTTCCTGGAGCATACTAGGGGTGAAGCAATCTCTGGACAGCTCAAATTGTGTTGTGAGATGGGAAACAAGCTCTCGTTAGCTCTCTCTGCTGTGATACTGGGAAAAGCAATGGCCCAGCCTAGATCACCATGAGTGGTGAGCAGCATCCAAGCTGCCTTCTCTTGTGCCTATCGCTGTCCTTCAGTTTCTCTCCAGAAATACTCTTATTGTCCCATCCTCACTCTGAGGATCACCTGTCAGACCAAAAGTGCAGCAGTGGTGTGAGTCAGTTCATGGTTAAAGTTTGTTCTGTGATTGGTGACATGAACACTACCTTGTGTTTTTTTCAGTCTCAGTTTGCATTCTTTTAGAACAGAAGAAATGGGGTCCTTGTACAATTTGCCACGCAGCTGCTGGGGCAGTTCCAGGGTCTGCAGAGCACTCATGGGTTGTGATCACATGTGGATGACAAGGGCTTGTTGGTACAGCCCATCTCAGCACAGATTTCCAGCAGGAAAAAAAAAAATCACAATCATGGTTAAAATGTCCATTAGCATCTAAATAACTTAGGGAATCAGGTCCTGTTACTGGTTGTGATTTAGGTCCAAGTTTTTACTTGCTTTGGACTTTTCTAAATGTGGGAGGGGACTTTCATCTGAAGAAATGTAAGGTGTAACATTAAAGGGGGCAGATGTCAATCAAAGTAGCCTTAATCTGATTGAGCATGCTTCTGTTCCATAGAGAATTAAGCAAAATGAAATTGAAACAAACTATGGTGGTATCCATGCAAGGAGTTGATATTTGATCTGCTTTAAATTCTTGTAATTTTACTTGCTCTTGTAAGGAGCTGCTGGAGATCTGGCTTTCTTTGAAATTAGTAGACTGTTTGAAAAAAAATCCTTTAAAAAAAACTGATTTTTTTTTTTTTTGCCCTTTTTAAGGGAAAGTAAGTAGGATTTATTTTGAAAAAAGGCCAAAAGGGTCCTAAAGCATTTTATACACTTCTGAAAATTTTATCTTTGCAAAAGTAAATGTTTTTTTTCTGCCACCCTGACAGGAAAAGAGATGTGGGTAGCGCTTTGCAGAGAAAGTAAAGTTTCCTGAGATCAAATCCTTTACTCCTCCCTAAATCAAGAGCCATCCTTCTCTCCCTACACATACAAAAGTTTGTTGGAGCATTTGTAGGTGAAATAGTGTGTTTTGGGAGCAGCACAGATTTCATAGGGGAAGGAGCCTTATTCTGGGAGGACATCCTTTTGTACCTTCCTATTCTGATAGCATTGTGTGTGCATAAGGTATCCTTAAGTCTGGTTAAAAAGATGCTGTGGTAAAATGGGCCCAAGCAAGATGGCAGACTGTGGGTCCAGAGCTGGTACAAGCATGTACTCAGTAGCTGGCTTGACTCACAAAGACCTCTTTTTCTGTAACAAACAGTGGAAACCTTTCTTTCCTTCTTAGGCTGCAGTTTCTGGGAGAGAGGTGCACCATCAGCTGTTGTGGGCTGTCACCAGTGCCGCCAGCCTCAATCACTGCTCCTAGACCAAATGGTTAAGATTAGTTACACAATCCATTTTCATCCATTTGCTTTTTTCAGTAGCTTAGTGACTCCCACCTCTTCTTTAGGAGACTTCAAAATAAGGTGACAACAACTGTCACAAACAGAAGGAGAGGAGACCAACTGCTTCTGTCACCACTGGGAGCCAGACCATCTGTATGTCTCCTTTTTCTTCTTCCTCTGTTTAACAGACAGACTGATTTCCCCTTCAACACAGGCAGCATGCCACTGTGCCAGTCATTTCTGCTTCTTCCCTTCTTTTTCTTCTCCATCCCACAGGCCTTCAGTCAAGTGCAGACATCACAAAGACTGATACGCTCTGAGCGATGCCACGTACATTCTCAATAGACTTTCTGTCCCTGTTTAGATGAATGACCTTCAGTTCGTATAGCTTAATTCATTTATTGGTGGCTGCTCTACAAGCTGGTCAACTTCCTGGGGACAGACAAGGTAGCCATCCTCCTGGTGCACCAGCAAGCCCTGTATGGCTCTTTTCTCTATGTACCTTTCTTAAAATACTTCTGTCTGCAGCAGTTTAGATGGAGAAAAATTAGGTGGCAGTATGTGCATAGATTTTTCTTACATGCTAAGCTCATAAGATAGTAGTTGGGCTGCAAGAATTGGTTTGGCACTTCTTTGACCCAGGTTTGACTTTGCTGCTGAGACTTCTCAGGTTTTCAGCAACCTCCATGCAACAGAAAGGCTCATGTATCCCAAAAAAAGAATCCTGAGAAGATTCCAGAGCCCAATATCAGTTGTATTAGGAGCAGCAGAGCTCATAAATGCCTGATTTAATGCAGAGGTGGCTGTTATTAGTGATCTATGTTTTCTTTTTGTGATCTAGAGTTTTCTTTAGTCGTGACATAAGAGTAGAAATATATGAAAAACTATTTAATACGCATTAGTGAATATTTTCCTGTATTTACTTTTGAAAAGGGACAGATTCTTTAGCAGAGTGATAGGCCAAGGGGAAACGGTTTCCAGGTAAAGGGGAATTTTAGATTGGATATAAGAAGAAGGTTTTTTTACAGTGAGAGTGATGAAGCACTGGCACAGGTTGCCCAGGTAGGTAAATAGATAAATGCTCTATTCTGGAGACATTCAAGATCAGGCTGGATGGGCTCTGAACATCTGATGGAGCTGTAGTGGTCCCTGTTCATTGCAGGGGAGTTCGACCAGATGGCCTTTAAGGGTCAAACTCAAACAATTCCATAATTCTGTGAAAGTAATTTTAGACTCCTAAATGTTTTGCTAATTGGGTTGTAAGCTAATCAAAAACAGTAAAAAGAAAAGCAAAAAAAAAAAAATCAAATTATTTTCAAATTCTTGGACTGCTTAAAATTCCTGCTGAGCATCATCCCAAAATAGTTAAGAGAGAGGAATTATGAGATTTTTTGGGGGACATTAAATATATGTAGTAATTGAGTCTTTGTAATGCAAGTTGCTATCCTTGTGATTGCCTGTACATAGAGGTTGACTGCAGATGCTCTTTTGTCACTGGATTGTTTTAATAGAGCCCAAGTAACTTGGTAAGAGCTTTACTTGAGAGCCTCTCCTTGACTCTGACAGAAATCACCAGGCTTCCTCATTTGTCTTCTTTCAAGAGGGCAATATATGTTAAGAAGAGTAACAAAAACTGTCTGACAATCACAAGATCAGTGCCTTCACTGCTATTGAGACATCCTTCAAGGAGAGGGATAAGGGCTAGACCAGCTGATGAGTGGCAGTGAAGGGAAATAATTGGAGGTGGAAACATAACTAAAAAGTGAGTGGTCCAATGTAAAAAAAAAAAAGTATCAAAAGGATGTTAAACTAATACATGCAGGAAGGGTGCATGTTGAACAGGTGCTGTACAAGAGCACCTGTCCGTGGGCTTGTTGTTAGGGCAGCTTCCTCAACCCAAACTGCCTTGTTCAGACCTAGCATAGGGATCTCCCTCATAACCAGACTGCTAGGCAAGCACTTGCACTGCAAGCGTGTTGCTGAAACCCTAGTTTAGGGTGTTTATGTTCCTGGAGTTAAATAAAAAGAAAACAGCGTGAAATTCACTTTGTAAGCGGCAATCACAGACCTGGAATTCATCCACAGTCATTGTAGGTTAAAAAATGCCATAAACTGCTCATCCAAGGCTGGGAAACCAAGGCATGATTGTTTTTCCTGTTATACACAAATATAGTTAAGGGAGAATTAATCTCTTGGGCTTAAAGGGGTAATTTTTGACCAAAGTTAATTATGAAGCACTGAAAGTACCCAATAACAGATGAAATGCACTTGTAGTTTGATTTTATTAGGGCAATTCTACCTTACCATGTACAGTATTGAACTATCCAAATAGTCCAAGTGAGACCCATTGTACCAAAAAGCAATTTAAATACAGTGCTTAGCTAATGCAACAGCACTCTTTCTGTGAAATAATAATTCTTATCGAATTAAGGCTTCTCTCAGCTGTGCTTCACAAAGCAGCAGAGATATTTTCAATAAGAACAAACACAAATAATGTTTCTGTCTAAAAACCATTATGTTCACAAAGATCAAAGGAACAAAAAGTAGAAGAAACACAAAAAATCAGTTGTATGAAAGAGGAAGCATTTGGTGGGAAATGGATGTCATTTATGAAGAGTAGCATGTCACATTGAAACATAGTTTAGCTTTTAGCAAACACTGGGAATTCCTTCAAGGCGGCAGCAAGGAAAAAATGGTCAATTTAGCCTTGCAACTAGTAGTGTTGTTTTCAGATTGATTAGCTGGTAAGGGTGCTGTAGCAGAAATGCTGAATCACGGCCTGAAGCAGTGATTGAGCACCTGGTAGGAAGGCAGGGCCAGCCCAGGGGAGCTCAGGTGCATGCAGTGCTCCTGAGTGATTGGAAGGGGTGGAGCCAGGATTCATCCCTTACCAGACCTCATTTAAGGGCTGGCAGTGGAGATAAGAGGGTTTTGCTAGAGGTCCCTGCCTACTTGAGGCCTGCTGAAGGTAAGCAGTTTTTCTTCCTCTGTTTCTGCATCCGTGGTTGTTGCATTTGGGCTTGTTCTTAGTTGCTGCAGCCTAGGGCTGTTCCACTGCTATTGTTGCTGTAGTTGCTATCATGTTGTAGCATTACAGTAGCTGTTCTTTTCTTTGTTTTACTGGTGCATATGTAATAATTCTGGTAGAATTTTACCAGCTTCAAAACAACATGCTTTTGCCTTGAGATGGATTTTACTTTCCTTGTTTTGTAACAAAATGTAATAGTGATTTAAGAAGGCAGGATTTCTAGAATTGTCCTCACCAAGCCAGTGCCTTCCTTTGTGTATACAGTTGGAATGAGAGAAGAGGTTCCTAGTTTCTGAACTTCAAGCTAGTTTGAGTGGACCCTTGTGAGGTTTGTTTGAAAGGCAGAAGTTCTCATCACTCCTGATGTGCTAATCTAGGATTCCACATGTGATCTGACGATTTTCTCATGGCAGGTAACATTTCTTGAAGCACTTGATGTTGAATGTGACTTCCTCAGAGCAGAACTCATGATCGCTTCACAGCTGCTTTGCTGTTGACATGCCTTCTTGCTGCTGGCCATTTGTCTGTTAGAGCAGACAAACCACAGCCCCAGGTCAAAGGGAGTCTTTCCATGAGGCTTCTTATGGATGATATATTGAGCACTTCATACAATGCATTCGATAGAAGGCTTGGAGTTAAGGAGGCAGATGATTGCAGGTGTTTTCCTTCTGTTAAAATAGAACTGTTGCAGAGGAGTCTTGCTGCTCCCTCTTATTGCTACAGCATATCTGCTCTTAATGACTATCACCCTTTCCCACCCAGCACAAGATACGGGATTTAGCTCTTAGTGTTCTTTCCTTCCCTATTTTTAGCAGGTGGTGCCTAGATATGGATCAGATAATCAGGCACACACCTGGCAAATGACAGAGGCACTGACAGAGCTTTGCTGACTTATCCCAGCTGTATAAATCATGGCATGGCCCTGCTCACTGTGCTGCTAACAGGAGCTGCCCACTGACAGGCAGATCCTTTTCAAGAAGGGCTGGTGGACAGTGAAGGCCATCTTAGTGGGAAGGTGAGTTTGGCATAAAGGTGTTTAAATTGCTGGAGTAAAAAATGAGATAGGCTCAAACTGCAAAAGAAAGTAGCTGGAATTTGTGATTGAACAGTCTGTGGTCAGCTATGGGGCTCTTTTTGGATGCACTAGTGTGTAAGTGCAGGTGTGTGGGTGCAGGAGCATCTTCCAGAGCTACATGGCCCATAACTGAAAGCAGAAGTGTGAGAATAGGGCAGGAAGGGGCAGATTTCTAAATTAAACTGCTGCCAAATGGCATGGTGTATAAGGTAGAGAGCAGTGGAAATCTCTCATTTCTGGCTGGAGGATGCACAGGATTCCTCTCCTTATGTATATAATTGAGCAGCAAAATAGCAAGTGTGTGCTCATTGCCTTTCTCTAGTTAGACCAGGGAAATTTCTGCTGCCCCCTGCATACAACAGTACAGGCTGGATCATTATTTGCTGTCTGCATTTATTCTGCAAGTGTTTCCTAATGCAAACAAAATCTTTTTCTGGGAGGTATTAATCATCAATCCTGCTTGTTATCTCAGGCTGGATATCTTTTGTGTACACAGGATCAGTGTTCTGCCAAGGTGTGTTGCACCTGTGGTTGTCATTACATTTCAGCAGCTGAATATCACTTGTTCCATAATCAGAGCATCCCTTCCAATGCTGCTCACAAAGGTGTGCAGGCCAGAAGTCCTCTGGGACCTGAGAGAAGCCCAATTGGTGCTAGCAATCTGTGTACAGTCAGACAGACACAGGCATCCATTTGAATAACAAAAATGTAAACTGTTTTTGCTTTTTTTTTTTTTTTAAACACTGTGCAGCATGCTGCTAACCTTGGGTAGAAAATAGATGCTAATAAATGCGAGGTCTTAAAATGTGAATAATAGCCATTTCACACTTCGTGGCAGATTCATACTGGTGAAATGGCTTAATACTTAATTACAATGCTTGTCCTTCCCTCAAGTGCAGATGACATTCCTCAGATAGATTTTTGCGATGACATCTGTGGAAATAAGTTGAGAAACTAATTAGTTATTCACATAATACAAAATATCGATGGTGCACTGATTAAAAGGATGTGGTGGCATCCGACTAACATGATGTATCTGTCTGGTAGTTCAGTCTGCTCCCTGAGGTGATGTGTTTTGGAAGAGAAAATAATAAAAACAACCCCTGGCCGCTACAACACAGATGTTTATATTTTGTTAATGATTAAGCAGAGCTACCATGTTCAGGAGTGGCATAACTTATTGCTTGTGCCTAGGAGGAGCACCAGGTCTGTGGGCTCTAAGGACCGTTTTTGTGGTGTTGACTGTAATGGGATCTGCAGGTTATTGACAAACAGCAGCCCTAAGCATCCTAAAAGCAATCATTAGACAACTGTCCAGAGAGAAGAGCTGGCAGGCCAGCATTTGTTTCACTGCAAGTCGGGCAACACTTTCCTTGCAGCAGAGCCTTCTCAGCTCTATCCTTGTGGGGTAGCTGAGAGATGGTGTCTGCTGTGAGATGAGACATTTGGAACAGGTTGTGCATAGAGATGTCCCATCCCTGCAGACAGCCAAGTCAGGCTAGTGGGGCTCTGAGCAGCTGGTGGACCTGTGGATTCAGTGCAGGGGAGTTGGATCAGGTGATCTTTAAGGGTCCCCTCCTACTCCAATGATTCTGTGTTTCTGTAATTGGTAATGCTTTGTGAGAGTCTCAGTAACTGTTGGTTTATTGTAGCATTTGCGCTTGAAAATTGTTTGTACCAAGGATAGTGAACATGAAATGCAGAAGTAGAGAAGACACAAAGGAGGCACCTTACCGACCCGTGCTCCTGATCCTATGTTTAACTCCTTTGAAAATTGTGTGATATTTAGGATGTATTCATGTTCAAAATGGCTGAATATCTCAGATTTTCCTTGAAATGTAGTTCTTACCTTAAATAAATGGGAGGAATTCAATCCACTGAACACCATGTTTGCATTTTGGTAGAATATTATCTGGCTTTCTTTAATATTTATGTCTTTCCCTCCAGCTGTGTATCTTGCATTTCTAAAACCTGAAGTGAAGGGCAAAGTAGGCTGCATATAAGTGCTCAGTCCTTGTCTTTAAGGGCAGTCTCCTTGCCAAGGCTTTGTATATCAGTGCCTGCAGCACCATGAGCCCAGCATGGGAATCGCAGCCAGGGTTTGGCTGCTGTAGTTGTGAACCAACTTCCTCAAACCTGAGTGCTTAATACAGATTTCTCGTTAACCTGAACAAAATAGGGAAGGGCAGTTCAGGTGCTTTCCTACACAAGTGAGAAGTTCCTCAGGGTTTTGTTCCCTTTTGCTTACTGCTTGTGCCTGAGCTCAGCTGTATCGAGGCAATCATAGTTATTATGGAGTGTGAGTGAGGTGCTTTGAGCTGTACAAGTCCATCCTGGTTAAAAAGGACACTTTCACAAAAGCATCAATTGTACCTTAGACAGGAATTGATAGTGGTTGTATAGCCATATTAAAGAGAAGAAAAATGTATTTCTAACCATAATGAGATTCTTGCTTTTGAAAGCAGTGCTTTGTATCTTATTAAGAGAAGTCATAAATATTCACTGTGCCTAGAGGATCTTTAGTCCAAATTTGTGTCATGTGGAATAGAGCTGTTTTCTCTAGGCCGAGAAGGGTGGCTGTGTTGTTACTTCACATCTTGATTTTATCCTTGGAAGGCGTGGTGCTGCTGCTGCCCTGCTCCTTATGTTTTATATAAATCCATCCTTTATGTTGCAGTCTAGCTTTATCCCATGGGCTTATGTGGCACCTCTGGCAGTCTGAATAATAGTTTCCTTTCAAATGACATCGCTGAGATCACATACTCCTTGCTTTCAAATGGTGTTTGATGTCATGAGAACCCATCTCTAGATGTGACTCAACAGTCAAACCTGTGTCCCTTATGCAGCAGAACAGTACCAGACCAAGAAGGGGGCTTGATTTGCTTTCTGCAGGGTGCTGTCAGATATGTCATTGCCATATCATCGTTGCAATTCATAAGGTGTGTTGCACTGAAGGCCACTGTTTTGCTATTTACGCAAACCATGGCAACTCCCATGGGCTGGAATTGGAAATTTGTGTGCAGATTCAGCTCAGAAAACAGAATCCTTTACAAAGCTAGTCTTGGTGGCCAGTTGGCCCATCTTGAGCAAGCTCTCAGGCTGTATGATTCCCAGATTCTGCTAATGCTTCTGAAGCTGACAGTTCCCAGCTCAGTTGGGATCGGTGTGAGCAGCTGAGAAAAAGCAACAGTTCTTAGATGCCAAGTATTTGAAAGCATTGTGTAAAAGGTAGAAGGCAAAATGGCAGTCGCTATTTATTCCATCAGCTGATGTGGCTGCTCTAAATATATGAAACAATATATGCACATGGCTTTGCTGGCAAGTAAAATAGTGCAGTGTCTCACTCCAGCTGCACAAGGACTTGGTGTCTTTGGATAGAAAAAGACAAAATTATAAACAGCGTGTTCCACAGTGCTGTGTGTTGCTTTGGGTCAGTGCATGAAATGAGGAAGCAGAAATGTGATTATGACCAATAAAAGCCAAAAAGCAGGTGAGTGTCTCTGAGAGAGCCTGAAAAACACTTTCAGAAACACAGCTCAGTTCTCCAGTAGGGAGGAACACATTTCTCAGAGCATGGGCAGTGGCTGTGGAAAGAGAGAGGAGCTTTTTCCCCTGGGTTCAACTGACACAAATGGGGGTCAGGCTGCATGGACCCAGCAGCTATTTCACCAGCTGAAACTTCTGCATCTCAGCTGCAATTCTGTCATGTTGAATTGACCTTGGTTCATGGGATCTCTCTTGCATTTCACAATACTAAAACACATTCTCTTCCTCTGGTTTCACATCATTAAGGATGGGCATGGGAGGAGACTGCTGAGGACATGTTATAAAACAACACTGGGGAATCAAGCGAAAACCCCCAAAACTTACACCATTAAGGATCATAGAAGAGATTGTAAAACAGAGGAAAATGGCTTCCTCGTGCATTTGAGAACAGCTGAGAAGGCTGGATAATGAGTGGATGTGCTGCTATAAGGAGATGTTCCCTGCCAGTGAACTCAGAGAAAATCTGCTTATATTTAATAAGGGTAGAAAGCAAGACAGAGTTCATGCTGCTAGTGCTGAACTGTGTGACAGTGATAACAATGTCGTGTCCTGTCCACTTCCTTGAGTACTAACATTGTAAAAGATAGAAGTAAAGTAAAATGACACTTTTTTTTGAGAGCTTGGTGTCTTAAATTTAATCAATATTAATGGATATTAATGGAAGGTTATTAGAACTGTTCATTTTGATAGAAAATGTGCAGTATCTTCTCATGCAGTGCCAGAGGTTAAAGATTGTGCTTGCTTCCTAAGGTTCATGAAATGAAATTCTCTTATGATCCACGAGATGTGATTGAGTGAAAAATGTGTGCATGTGAGATGGTTTGTAATAAATTCATGTTGCAAATAAAGGCGGTCTTAGGAAAGCAGCCTATCATACTTGAATCAGCTGAGGATCTCTCTTGAAAAGATGGCAGCTTTTATGTAAACCTGAAGAATTTCCTTTTGGAAACCCGAGTGCTTCTGGAAGGATCACCTGTGCTTTTGTCTGGGTTATATATCTCTAAATAACTAGAGATGACATTTCTGACAGATCCTTTGTAGGTACCAGAGCTAAACTGCCTGCCTGAGCCCTCCAAATGCTCCCTACCAGATGATCAATTCTTGTTCCTGTGGGTCAGGAGGAGCTGTGTGGGGAGCAGAATGAGAAAGCCAGTCCTGAGTGTGCTGTGCAGGTTCCAGCACTGTGTTTTCCCTGCTCCCCAGATCCAAACTGTTGGGTATATACCATAATGCAAGCATTGGCTTTATTCCCTAATTGTTTTTAAAAGTACAGAAACTTTGGTAATGTGGGACCTGTGCGGGTTTGATGTTAGGACTGCATCTTGCAAGCAATACTTTGCCTTTAAGTATCCATGTAGATCATGAAGTAGTGTTGCACCTACACTCGCACTAAATATCTCAATTTAATGGGTTCTTAGTTCAGTTCGATCTCTCTCCGTTGGCACTGTTCTGAACAGTGGGAGAGGACCAAACAATGACTTTGTCAGAGTGTTTTGCAGAGCTTCAGATTCATGCATTCAAGCAACATCACACCAGGAGGCTAAATCTTTGAGTCTAGAGGTTAGCTACAGATAGAAAGAATAAATCAAGCAATAAAAGATGCCTATATAAAAGGATATTTCCTATGAAATGAAATGCTTCAGAGTTCATCATAAACCCCTGACATGCATTCAGTCACTCTGCCTGCTGTCGCAGTCTGAAATACATTTCAAGGTGCCTGCATATTTTTATGCTGTAACCTCTAATAAATACATAGACATTTTCAATGATGCTGCATCATACTTTGTGAATTGATATGCTGTGAAGGGGGAAGCTGTGTCAGTGCAATGGGAATTCTGCAGGCAAAAGTTCTCTGCTACATATTATTGCCAAGGGATGTTCAGATTGGAAATTAAGAACAGTTTCTTAACTGAAAGAGTGATGGTGCATTGACACGGGCTGCCCAGGGAGGCTGGGGAGTCACTGTCCCTGGAGATGTTTGAGAACTGTGGGGATGTGACACTGAGGGACACAGCTGGCATGGTGGGATGGGTAGGGATTGGACCTGGTGACTTCAGAGGTCCTTTCCAGCTTCTTTGATTCTATTAAAAGTGTTTCTCTGGGGGCTGCAGTACGTCCAGGTGTCTGGGCAATACCAAAAGGCGTTGCTTTCATAATCACCTCTTTGAGGAAGTTTTGTCTATCTGGATGCTAGTTCTGTGTTTCTGTGTGAAGCAAAATATATCTGTTCCTGTAGTGGCTTTTGTAGTCTAGGCCATGGTATGGATTATCAGTCATTGCATGAGAATGGAAAAGTGTCTCCTTGGGCCACATCACTGAGCTCCTTCTGTTTAAAGATCACATCATTTTCAAAGCATTGGTTTCTTTTGGTTGTTCATTTTATTTTTACAGAACTATGTGCATAAGTCACAAAGAGGAGTAGAAAGTGAGAAGTGATACCTTGTACTTATTCTTTATGGGCTTATCTGGTTTATTTTGACATTAAAGTTTCAGCAGTAGTGGTTTCTGAAGAGCTTAAAGTATATAAACTGGAGAATTCGGGTAGTATACAAGGTGTACAGACAAAATAGATTCAGCATCACTATCTAGCTGAATAACTGTAGCTTTATCTTGCATGCTAGAACAACTCCAGTAGTGAACCATATTTCCAGTGTCAAATCTTAATACATTCATGGAGATGCTGAGGCTGTTTGGCTTTATAGGCTTATAACTTGGAGTGATCTATGGGCAATGCTGGATTTGGCCAGATGGAAATTCCCTCCTTCAGTGATGTACCAGCCCCCAATGGCCAGCGAGCTGATGCAGCTGCATATAGCTCAGAGCCCAGCAGTCTGTGGACAGGCAGTGAGCGCAGCACTTGGAGATATATTGGCAGCTTTGCCATTAGAACCACTATACTTTTCCTGCTGTGTGCTCAGCTAATATAAATATTCCTGAACTTCTTTTATACATACTCAGTATGCATCTGTGCCTTTTTTTGCAGAAAATACCATTTTTTTAATATTGAAATACGAGAGCGTAGAGCTTTTAGAATTCTATTTCTGTATTCATGGCACAAATCACAGTGAGAGCAAGAGCTGGGTGTCAGAGCTGCAGGACAAACTGCGTTTCTGAGTGCATCCACCAGGGCTTCACTCTTTCAGAGCAGTATGCCAAAAGTGTGCCATTTCCACACAAAGCCTTTGGCAGCACTGGGTACAGAATGCCTCAGTAGTGCAGCTGAGCTGGAGGGCTGGTGGCTGTTCCTCAGCAGTAAATGTGTGCAGCACAGCAGTCACAACCAGTAGCCTTGTCATCTCCAGCAGTAGAAAGGACCAGTAAATTCCCCTCAGAAGGGGGCTCATTTGCCAAGCCAAATGCCTGTAGTGCAGCTAACTCCACTTTCTTAGCAGAACACAAATATAACAGTCTTTTCTATAGTGCCCAGCAGTGTTTATCTTCCAGGTTGACTGGCCTGCATTGACATTAGTGTCCCCCGAGCTTCTGAACTTAATAATTTCCAGTAGCTGCTTGCCTGCTTGAAGCAGTTCCAGTCCAGCCTCCAGTGTATTCTTCCTGTCAGTCACTATGGGAACAGCAATCAAAGCTCCTATTTATGGCTCTGTAGATGTCTGAGGTCATGGAGCACAGGTCTGGTGGGAACAATTAAAACAGGCCTGTCCAGTTATGTCTTTTTAAGTTCTCCCCACATTATAACTCTAAGTAGAGCAGTACAGTTAAAGCAGCATGACTGTTAGGATGTAATTGCCTTATAAAAGGATATCCTTTATAGGAGATAGATATTCCATGTACTGTCATCTATGGGAACATACTGAGAGTAGTCAGTATCTCTAGCACTGGATGAAACCTGCCCCAGGTTTTTTTCTGCAAACCCGATGGGGAACTGCATGCTGCCAGACCCTGCAGGGTCCCCAGGGATGCATCTCTGGTACTGGGTACTTCTCTTACTGGTAAACTGAAAATTTCCAATGCTTGTATTTAGGCTGACAGTAAATGTTGTTATACCTGGTGGCTTACTCTACAATAATAAACAGGAAAAAAGTGAGAACTGTGGGAGTGCAAGGAGGGAAGGACTGTGATGAGCTTAATATCTGAGGGATAGCAGGGTAATTCTTTAGCAGTGGCCAAGTTTTGTAGGAAAAAAAACTGTTTCCTACTTTCCCTTGTATTGAAATAATTGTGTGATGGAGCCTTGGTGCCCCATTGCTGGAGCTGATTGAGTCTGGGGGTTATGTAGGTTCCTTCCCCTTGACCACTGATGTGGTATAGAACATCTTGAGTTGGAAGGAACACATAAGGATCATTGAGTCCAATTCCAGGCTCCACACAGGATCAACTGAAAATCAGAACATATGTAAATTACATCAGAATGAAAATCACTTGGGCCAGAAAGTTGAGTAGCAAATACTATGTGAAGATATAATTATGTGCAGTTCATGTGCACTGGGTGCAGGAAAATGCTACGTCAGTTTTAAATACCAGCCAGCATGTGTGTAAACGTATTTGTAAATCTTCACTCTTATCTAATGACCCAATTATTTTAAATATTTCAAATATCTTTCTGAAAGGCTTATTACGTAAAGGAATTTGTGACCCTCCACAGACAGCAATGGGAATTTCTGCCAGAGCTGACACTAAAACTGAACAGAGGAAACATTTCGCTTGTCTGTCATTTTTGGGAAGCTCTCCAAATATGTGAAGTTGGTATCAACCCATAGCAATTCCCCAACCTGTGATGGGCCCCAGTCAGCGCTGCCCCTCAGACTGCCCATACTATAGCATGTGAATAACTGCAGATGTCACACATTCCTTCTTGAAACACAAGATAGAAAATCTCAATTATCACCCTCCCTGCTATTTTCTGACCAGTTCCTTCCTTGACTCAGCAGTTCAGTATCTGTGTTTCTCTCTATATCTGTATCAGATTTCTTTGAGCTCTGTTCTGCAGCCTTGATATTTAGTGTCCAAACAGGTAGTTGACTCATTTCAGTATTCTATCCCAGCAGTTACCCTGGCTAATGGTAGCAAGTGGGCTGTGGAACTGATTTGGTTTGGGAGGTCCAGTGATAAATGTGGCTTCTCCCTATGGTGTATGGAGGGGACTCAGAAGTCCTCATTTCTTTGGGGCTGTCACATGAGGACTGGATTCAGTATTCTGGAGCAGGAATTAATGATACTGCCTGCTGATATGTAGGGGTGTTGAATGGAAGGTGGAATCATGCATGTTCCAGTGTGAGGGATGCAGTTTGTGCTAACTTCAGCAGGTGAAATTTCTTTGTCTATGGGAAGCAAGTAACATTTGGAAAATTGTCAGAGTGACGCTCCCAGGTGGTAGAAGACATCTATCATATCTTCTGCATGGAAGGATATAAGCACCCTACCTTCTTCCTGGCAGCGTTTGCTTACTGACACCCTTGGAAACAACAGTAGTAATTTCACTAGAAAAGCTTTAGCAGAGTGGTGGCCACCATGAAAGGCTGTCCATATTCCACATGTGCTCAAGGAACTCAGATATTAAGTTCTTGCCTGGTTTGTTTTCTCTCCTGCTGCCTACCAAGCATGCAATCAATATATAGTGTTAATTTGACTGCTGAGAGGTACCACGAGAGTGCAGGCAATTGAGAAGAAACAAAGAATTCTGGAGAGAAGAAAACAAAACCCTACACCTTACAGCTTTGATTGTTGTTTTTTTTGACAATGGTTAAATGACCATGATTTATTTTTTCTTTTGCACATTTATTCTGGGTATTTTTGGGCCAGACAAAAGAATTCAAGTTGCTTTTAAGGTTTGGAATCCAATTGCCTTTCCCTTGTTATGTTTCCAAGGAAACTCTATTGACTTCTTTTAAAGGCAATACTTAGGAAGTCAGTCAGGTTATGTTTCTGTACCTGGGGCCATTCCCACCACTGAGACCATCTGGTGAAGCTCCTGGTGGAGGCAGTGGCTTAGGGCCGTGCTCTGCAGTGGAAGTGGCAGTTTTCTTGAGGAAGTTTTCAAATGAGTTGTCTTGGGCACTAGGAGAAATCAGCGGCAAGGAGTTGCCTGTACAACTTTGCTGTTTTGGGGAGGAGGGTGAGTTACTCCTGGGCTGTGCTGAGCCATCCCCACTGCTCTTATACTGCAGTAACCCCAGGGAGCTCTGAATGTGCTCATCTAGGGTCGCAAAGGCAGTTCATCACAGGAATAGAAATTGAACTCCAGTGCTTCAACCACAAAGCCAGTCCTCCTACCTGCCTCTTTTTCAGAAAACAAAACAGAAGGAAATGAAATTCCCTGCTAAAAACTTCTAGGAAGAAATTATGACACTGAGGGGTGCTGAGTTCATTTTTATTAATCCGTTTCATTTAATCTCTGCTTGACCTGCTCTGTTAGCATCTGTGATTCTCTCTGTTACTTGAAAAGAAAAAAGTCATACAAAAGAGGTTATGAGTGTGAAAATATGGACTTGCCCAAGAAAGGATTGAAGGAGCTTCATGGAAGTCAAGAAATGTTAAACGCTTTCTCTTTTTGCTGTGTTGAGCCAAGAAGCAAGAAGACTGATTTCTTTGAGCTCTGTTCTGCAGCAAGGATCAGTAATTTACAGCATGGATGCTGGCAGAGGAAGAGTCAAGAGCAAGGATTGCTGTTTCTTGAGATGTGCACCCAAAGCATTGGGTACTGTATTTCCCAGTATTTCCCAGTATCCACGTGTTACAGATGGAGAAGGGCAGGGGTGTTGTTTCTCATTGGGAATCATAGAATCACTAATGTTGGAAAAGACTGCTAAGATCATCTAGTCAGCAACTGAATTGCTGCCACTAGGTTCAACCTGTCTCCCAGTTAAGAAAAACACTGTCCTGCATATCTCTTGAAAAATTGCCAGACTGTACCTTGAAATGCGTGTTATATTCAGGAGTGATTATATGCAAAAGATAAACAGAAATCAGTTTCATTTTTAGCTGAAGAGAAATTGACCCTTAGAATTTGCAAAACATCCTCTTCTCAGAATTAAAGTAGTCCCTTTGGAGACATCTCTGTACTCTCTTTTACAGCAAGTTGGCTTTTTTTAATTGCCTGATCTCTTTCTATCTGTAGTTCATTCTCCTCTCCACCCACCTCCACAATCTCTTTGTTTTCTTCTCTGCACCATTTCCCAACCTATTTTTCTTTGGAAACAAGAAATGAGCTGTAAATCTCAAATGACTTGAAGATTTTCAAAGAACTGGGAGGAAAAACTATTTCAAAAATCCCGTCCCTCCCACTGCCCTGCTAACTCCAGTAGCAGCTCAGAAACTGGCCCCACCAAATGCTGGTCCCTGCTCTCATTTTCTGTCCTCAGAAATCTTGACTTTTTCTTGGCACTCCTCCTGAGAAAGTGTGTTCATTTTTCATGTATTTGTATTCTCTGTTGGATGTTATAGATTGTACAGAGGAAAAATTTCCAAATTATCAAAACAGGTTGTGAATCAGTGCTATAATGTGAAGAGCAATCACAGATCAGTGGGTACTCATGAAAAATTCTGTTTTTCTCAAAGACAGCTGTCAGATTAGCTAGTTTTGATACAGGAATAAGCAACTAACTTTTAGGTTACTGTCCTTCTCAGTGGTGGTATACATGATAGATTTAAGGTTAGAAAAGACCACAAAGATCATCAAGTCCAACTGTTTTGCCATCCCCCCATACCCATTAATCCACATTACTCAGTATCCTGACCTAGACAGTTTATTCTGTCACTTTGCTTCCCTAACTTTATCAAATATCAGCATGTGAGAAGTTGGGTGAACTGGTTCGCAATAGCATTAAGCCAGAAATAGTTATTTCTTTTCAATAGAGCCAAGTCCTGTGTCTCTATGCATGGTCATGGTTGCCTGTAGAGGGAAGGGTGTGGATGCTCATAATTGTGAGGCTGCTTTGTGTCTGTCAGACAGCAAGGCATGGAATTTCTCCTGCAGATATGAGGAGCACCTCTAATCAAGGAGCAAGCCTGAGAATGAACCATCTGCTGGGACTCACGAAGGGTGAAATAGCTCCCTAGCTTTTGAGCAGAAGCCCAGCACACTAGAAAACTGGATGGTTCAGTATTCCTGTGAAGTAATCTGAGGAGTTTGGGGTCATTGCTGAGACCTTATGCACGCAGACATAAAACTGTATTCCTGGTGTAAATTGTGAAAGAGGCCACAACTTTGGCATATAGTCCCTTTAGATGTACAATTATGCCTGTTTGCCATTTTATGAAGTATACAGAGGACAGCAAATGGTACTTCTGCATAAAAACAAAAAACCTGCTACGTGCTCTATATAGCTCTGATCAGAGGGGGGAAAATGACTACAGATTTGTGGTTGACAAGCTTCAGAAAGGGTTCGGCAGAGTGTGAAAATTGACATTTAGCAAATAGCAATTCAGCCTTCATTTTTTGTCAAGTTGCTTGGAATAAACTGCAGGTTTAAAACAAAATGTTTGGTCACTTGTTACATTGGATATTGCTTGTCTCATTACTGCAGTTAATTAAAGGGGGGACCGAAAGTCAAAGCCAGAGTCAATAAGATTGTTAATAAAGATTTAATTTGGTGGAATCATTATAAATTGACTGTACTGTGAATGGATATACCATAGGAGTATCAGTGTCGGAAGGTCTATGAATGCATTTTCAGAAATAGCCACCAGGTTGTAGCCAATTTGTCATGCTAAATAAGCTCTTCAAATCCACTTACAGTATTCACTACATGCTTTCAAGGGATACCACCACCACGTATGTGATGCATACAGACTTACCTTTTTTCCAGCAGGTATTCTACCGTTTCAAATCCTTCCTACTTTTGGTATCTCCATATTTCTTCATTGTAAGTTACTTACTATGAAGTCCAATCTTCTTATAAGGAACAGAATAAATCATCAAGGCAGTGAAAAAGTAAATCACTGCAGAAAGCACTGCAGTAATCTGAGCCTGTTCACTGTCCACGTGAGATTTTAATCTGTCTGACACTTTCCATTATGTCTGACCAAGAGGCAAATAGAAATCCCATGACAGAGAGACTTCAAAAAATAATTTTTAATGGAAGTCTGCAGCCACCTTTCATTAAGCAGTTCTGATGTAGAAGAATTCTTGCAAACCACTGATGATAATGACTGCAGTATTTGCATAGCACTGCACCCCTGCCAGTATCATCTATATACTTTGGATTATCATGAGAAAGTGATTTCTCTGCCAGTGACCACATGCAGGTCTGCTCAGAGGGATTATGCAACACCCTGGAAAAAAAAAAAGATTAAAAAACAAACAATTGCTTCTTCAGTCTTCTGAAGTTGGACAAAAGAGCAAGCATTCAAAGTAAAGTAGTGGGGAGTTGGCCCAGATTGATTCTTCGTGATATTTTGCTGCCTTCACTGCACATGAAAGTCACCCTGAAGTGGAGCACTATGTATGTTAGGTTAATAAATACTTAATGTGTCAACCTAGCGAGTTTTATCTGACACAAGTCCCATCTTTCTGTTGAATTTTCTAATTTTACACCAGCTCTGGTGGCATTTGTCCTCCTGCAACCATCCAGAAGCCAACATAAATTCTGTGACGTGCTCCAAAAGCTATTGCAATGCTTGCACCCATTTACATTGACCAGGCCAACTTACTGTAACCCTGTAGGGTGTTAGGATTGGGTTGACACTGTGTTGCTCACCTCACAGCTACAGATGGGAGGTCTGAGGCCAGTTTGCCTCTGCACACGCTGCTACTAGGCAGCAAGCTATGCCAGTGGCTTGAGGAGCTACCATGCTGTTTCTATTTCTTTATTTCACTCCTGGCTTAGTAACAATGCATCAAGATAATACCCGATCTTACCAGCCTCTTCTGTAATTCTAGCTGAAAAGGTTTCTTCCAATTAATGCCATTTAATTAGAAGCTTTCAACCTGTAATTAGAAACTTACACCAGCCCAACCTTTGTTTCTGGAAAATGCATTTCTGGTTTAGGCAATTACAGTAACATAAAAAGTAATTATTTTTCTCCATGTGTGAAATGAGTGTTCTCATTAATGCACCCAACAGGAGGAGGAATTTGTTTTGTTTCAATTTGTTTTCTTAAGTAACTTACTGCAGTAAAATAAGGTACAGCCAACACACAGAAGATGGTGCTTTACATGGTAGCTGGGGCACATCTAGCTCCTGAGACTGTCCCTTGCTCCTGCTGGCAGCACAGAGAAACTGCATACAATTAACACAATGCGGTTAACAAGCCTCTGTGAAGGAACTGCCAGTGATAATGTCATTTACTATCCCTCTTTTATCGTTCCAGAAGAAAAGACATTCATCCCTTGCCTTTCCTCTAACCAAAGCGCATTCTCTGCTTTTTTTTTATCTCATGGTATCTCCTATGGTTGATTCCTGGCATTAATTATATTAATAAATAGAGCTGTAGTCTGGCTCAATCTCCTCAATCCCACCTACAACTGCTGTGATTTTATTAATCACTCCTTTGCTCCCAACTGGTAACTCCTCTCCCTTGAGAAACAGGCACTGTGCCTCTGGCATCAGCACCCATGGGACTGTGCTGCTCTGGATGCAGCCCTGGCCATTCCTTTTTTTGGAAGAATTTCTTCTCCGAAAAAGTGGTTAAATTAAATTCCTGGAGGTGTTCCAGAACTGTGGAGATGTGGGGGTGGGTTGAGGTTGGACTTGTTGATCTCAGTGGTCTTTTCCAACCTCTTTGATTCTGTGATTCTGCCGTTGCCCTGGTTTTGCAGCAGTTTCCCACCACTTGGCCCTGTAACATCTCTGGATGTCGGAGCTCATCAATTAAGGCTGAAAGATTGAGCACGGCAGGACGGAGGGAATCCTGCAGACAGCTCTCTGCTCACGTCTGTCAGGCACAGTGGGGATTCGGAGCGAGACCAATCTGCTCACAGCCCACCGGGTGAGGAGAGCATCGCTGCCGTCATCACTAAAATAGGAACAATTCATTTTGCATCCCTCAGTCCCTTCCCTGGCCCTTAAAAAAAAAAAAAAAAAAACCTCATCATCATCATCTTAAACTGCTTCTGTATTTACCACACATCGTTTTTGACTGTCTCCCAATTTCTATGATAATTTCCTTCCTTCATTTATAAGCAACAGCATTTTTTAATTATCCAGATGATTTTAATTTCCTCAGCCATACCTCTACTTCGTAAAACATTAATCTCGTACTTTTGTTCTTTGACAGTCTCTACCCTTCACCACTTCTCCAGTTCATGATGAAACCAGATCTCAATAGTATTATACACTACATCTTTCTCTCTAGAGTAATTTGATTTTTTTCCATTTGATCTCTTTTTTTGTCCTCTAAATGCTACGTTTTTCTTTCTGTATACCATTCTAGAGATTACTTAAAGAGAAAAAAACAGGATAACTGATGTAACTACAGCTCCTTCATCCCCTTCAGCAATTCCCATGCATTAGCCTGATAAATATTCACAAAGAATTCACAACTGTATTTTGACTTCTCCACGTTTTTCTGGTTTTATTGCTTTCAGTGCTCTGAATATACAGCAGTGGGCTCCTGTGATCCACACCTTCAGACTCCTCCGGTTTCTCATTTATCTTATTTATCTGGACTCATTTGAATCTTTCAACATTAGCTAAGCATCTTCCTAATGCTGGCTTTGAACTGTTTTATAATGGTTTCAAACTGCTCTTGTTACAGCAGAGGGAAGTGGTCAGAACTGATAGATGTAGGTTGGCAAAAGGGGAGGATTGCTCCCCACACACATTCATTCATCAGGGAATGCAGCACCTGCAGATCCCAAGCAGGACAGTTCATCTAGCATCATAATCTAAGGAAATACTAATTTTCATCCATAATTTATACATAAGGGTAATTCACATTATTTTATCCATTCTTTTTCTCTCTTCACTCAGCTCTGTACAAAATCTCTTTAGCATCTCTGTTGTCCAAATACAGAGAAGTGAAGTTGTTACCCTCCTTGCCATTTGAACCAGACTTATCTCTGGCTCAATTAGAAAACTGTAATTTCCAATAAAGCATCACTAGACCTCTGATCCTGTCAGGTCTCTGACAGATTTAATTGGATTTTCCTTAGGAATTAACCATAGTTTATAGGTGATAGCTCAAAGAATCTAGATCTTATTAGGAATTAGATGTGGCTATAAAAATCCATTTTAGAGTATGGCCGCATTGAAATTGTCATTTAACAGATTTGCAGCATAGACTCTGGAATCTGTATCATGATGCAGGCTGTCAAACTAAGGAATATTTACAGCTATAGCCAGGATTTACAATTGGGTGCTGTGATAATCATATATCCTTGTTTACTTCTGTAATTAATGTTGCTGTAGAAAATATCCTGGAAACCTTTCATAAGGAAGATTTATTTATGTTGATTGAGACTGTAATCAGATGTCCTCGTTCAAACAGTAATTGGAGTGCTTCATTAAAATGTAATTGCAAACAAGGTTTATGTCACTGCTGGGGAATAAATAACGGGGATACATATCTTATTATTAGTGATGATATCTTCTGTAAGCTTTCAGAATGCTTGCTGCTTTTGTGCTGTGCCATACGTGACAAGAGATTTACTCAAAATTTTGGTATCTTGATTAGGAATGAGAGAGAAAGATTTGGTTTGACTGTTTTTATTTTAAACTCTCACTCCAAGGCCAGGTCTCTTTTTTATAATTATTAGGGCTTTTTTTTTTTTTTTTTGCTCTTTTCCTGTTTTTACCTTAAGCTCTGTGTCATTGCCATTGCCATATCTTAGCTCATTTTGTTCTCCTGAAATAGCAGTTCCTTACAGTAGGAAAGAAATGTAGGGCAGATGGGGATTGCTCATAACAGAGCCTTTTGCTCATTGTAAGATTGCAAGAATTTGGCTGAACTTCAGCTAAGGTTTTGACCAGATGAGTCCCAGTCCTTGTTCCTCCTCCCAAACTGTCTGCTCCGCTCTGAGCACATGTAAGGCAGTTAAAAAAAAGTTTAAAAGCATTCTGGAAATGGAAATTAAGCACAGTTTCTTTTGCTCTTCAGTAAAAGCTAATTACCTTCCAATTAGTGAGTAGTAAATTATTGTGTTTTATTCTATAAATAGATTTATGTAAGATAACACAAATAATGGAGTCAGAAGTATAAGTCACTGGGAATGGGTGATCCCATTGATTTCATTGGAACAAGAGGCTTAAAACTGAAAGCAAATTTCAACCTGAGATACTGGTTCATTACCAGCAAATTGATGGAGCTCTACATTTACTTGCTAGCATAATTTACCAATTGTATGAGATGTAAGCAGGCACAGTGGTAACATTGGCTAATTTTATGCTCAATGTGAAATCTTATAGCTGGTCAGATGGATACCGTAAGAAATAATTAGAGTCATTAGAAATAATGGGCTACAGCTGCAGTAATACATGCTCTATTCTCAGTCCAGAGGTTTCTAAGCAAAATTAAATTAGCTCATGTTACCACACTGCTGCATCATATGCTCCTCACCTCCTGAGAGCAAACTTCTCTTTCCATTTCCACACTGCAGATGAAGTTTGTGCCTAATGCAGAAAAATCTCATGTTGAGAACAAGAACTTCTGAAACTCAAGGCCATTCCTTGTATTTTACCATTGAATGGCAAGTCTTGTTTGTGCTGGTGCTGAACTCTGGCGAGTATTTTCCCCAGGAATTTTTCACATCAACCTTTATTATTTTAAGGAAATGATATCAATTTTATTGGAAGCACATCAGCAGCCCCTAGCTGCTGGTGGTGCTGCCCTGACATCTGGTATATCCTTTTCTCCCCAAATTCCAAAATCCATTGCCAATAGTAAGGCAAAAGATGGATTATTCAACCGGGGTTGAAGAAGGGGAGAAGAAGGAACTATAATCCATGCTGCTGGAGTGATTAACGTGACTGTTTATGGTGAAGGAAATGAAAACTAGAAGTCTGGGTAAGTAATGATCTTCCCAATGAATTTCACCGGAACCGCAGTGCAGACCCAGGTGCTGACCTTCTTCCCATTATTCCTCAAGTTTTCAAAACCAAGGAGGAATGGCACCAAAAGTTTTACTGTCTAGATTGCTCCCAGGAACACAGGATTTTCCAGCAGTAGCAGGAGGGGGCTTCACTGTGGGATGCACATATGCCATTACAGCTCTTTAACATCAGAGTGCTTTGGTGGTAGTTTTTGAGTGAAAGGGCTTAAGAGACACATTTAGCACTGTCCATTAAGCATGGTGAGCTGGCAAAAGGCTTCCTTTGCATTCATTGCCTTGCACGTTGCTGTGCAGGCTGAGTGCTCAGTGGGAGGAACGGTATTTTTGATGAAGGTAAGAGCTTCTGGAGTTTTGGGAACATCAGTTATCTATTTGCCATCCATCTTTGGCTATGGTACTTACCTGACCTCAGTTATTACAGTATGTAACTGCTTCACAACCCTCATCTATTTACCTTTCCATTCTCCCTGTGGAGCTCGGAAGTGCAATTACCTCTGTTGCAGAACTAAGTACGATTAAGGGTCAGATTTGCTATGGTCTTTAGGTACTCAATGGGATTTTCAGAAGTACCCAACACCTGGTGTACTAAGTGGATCTTAGGCTTCTTCAGTAGTTGTGAAAATCCCATTACTTGCATTCTTTGAAAAATTTTGGCTCGCTTGGTGACCTGGGAGCTATAAGAAAGGTTTCCATGGTCATCGCCCAGACAAGAGGTTGTAGGTAGGACAGGAGCAAATTTCTGGCAGTAGCAAAATCATTTTATCTCAGTTTTGAATTCATCAGGTTTGGAAATAGGTGTAACTGTGCATAGCAGTGAACCTCCTCTACTTGCAAAGCTCTGTCAGAGAGGTCCTCAAGACAGTGGAGCAAAAATAAGCAGTGCCTGTGGTCAATAAGAAAGAGCTTATGAGCCAATTGGTGGGATGGAAATTCAAGAGCAGGAGCAAATAATGAAACAATCTATATTCATGCAGCTTTGCAGCCTACAGCTGTAAGTACGGGCTTACACCTAGCCGGGAGATGTGAATCTGCTGAAAGCTCCAGAGTCTCCTAGTGAAAAACAAATGTTGATATTGAACAAATTATCTGTTCATCGCTAAATCATTTTCTTTCATTATTAGTCTTCAAATTGGTTCTGCTCTGGAAGGCAGAATTAGGTTTAAAAGCAGAGTGTCTCTTAAATGCTTGCTTCAAATGAAAGTATTCGGTAAACGTTTCTCAAAGCTCCTAGAGCATAAACTCCTCAACTCCTTTCTGGGGCTTTGCATGGATTTTTCAGCTCGTGATTTAAAGACAGATGTTTCAGGGATTTATTCAGGAAACAGAAAATAATCAAATTAAGCCCCTTGCGTTCATATGCCCCTCTAATGCCAAAGACAATTTTATCAGAACCTTTTTGTCCTTGCTTTCAGTAGCATAAACTGGGACAACTGTCCCATGCAGACAGGAGATACTGCTGTCAAACAGGGGTAGAAGAGTGAGAAGAATAAAATTCTGAACTCACAGTACAAATTCTACACAAGCTGCAAGCATACGATTCTTACCGCTGGAGGAGCTGCCTGTTGCTGTTAATTTAAAGTTCTTAAAAAAAAAAAAAAAAAAAAAAAAAAGCTCTGGGCTTCAAAATGATACTTTTAACATTAAAAGGATGGGGTTTGGTTAATTCAGCATGTCAGCAAGATTGCAACTGCCTGAGCCAGTAATTTAGGAGAAAAAGAATTAGATTTGGCTCAGCTAATCTTAAGAAAGACAAGTGGTTCTGCAAAGAGCAGAACCCCAGTGCTATGTGCTGGTGCCATGTTACACCATGGGCTATCAGGAGATGCTCGAGAAGGACCTCCATGGTGCAAGAGGGATTAGGATATGTATAAAATTGCATGGGCTTCATCAATGTTTTGAAGATACTGTTCTCCTGCCTGTAGGATTCCACTGGTTGGAGGATGGAGGACAACTTGTGCCCTTTGTTAGATACGAAAAGAGAATAAAACTAGGGGGCAATGTTGTCTAACAAAGTTCTTGGTGCTTGTTTGCTTATTCAAAGCAGGAATTTAGCTAAGTTTGATGTTACAAGGACTTGTGTGCATAAGGAAGGTTCTGGAAGTAGAATGTCCCCTCCTGTTCATTGCAGGAGAGTTAGACTGGATGACCTTTAAGAATCTCTTCCAACTCAGACGTTTCTAAGATTCTATGATTCCATGATCCCCCAGCATGGGAAGCTATTTGTTAATTCCCTGTTCCTTAGATCTCTCCAGTACAGCACTGGTGTGGGAGTGGGAGACTGCTCTCGTAAAGGGCAGCAATCGAATGCTGTTGCTGTATCTGAGTTTACTTGCACTGTGGTCTCTGATCAGTGTTTTGCACTTAGAAAGTTTATTTGTTCTTGGCCAGAAGAGTTACAAGATTAACAGATGAACAAATGTTTTGAGACAGCCAAGGTGTGAAAGAAATTGAAGCCACTGAGATAGAGCTGAAGAGCCACCTGGCCATGGCTCTCAGGAATTATTTTATCCTCAGATTAGCTCAGTTGTTTTGGGGATTGGGCATGTCCTCTAGTCAACGTAGCCACAGTGACTTAAGACTTTCCTGGCCCCAGATCTGTTCCTCCTCTGGAGGATTCTGGAGCAGCAGCAGTGGGACACAACGTGTGCCCACATCCTACAGCCCAGATCCTGGGGCTGAGTGCGTGTGGAAGGTCCTTAGCACTGGGGGCTGTGCCACCAAAGGTGAGAGCTGTGAATGGCAGAAATCCCCAGTGAAAATGTGAGGCAAGCAGTACGTTCACCCACCATAATGAAAGCCACCAGAATGCATGTGCCAGAGCACTGGGGCTTCGTGCTCTGACTATTTTTACCAGAAAGGAATTCTAACAGATACTAGAAAGGCAGTTATTGCAATTGGAAGGTCAGAGAGGTTCTTATATGAGGTAACACTATTTAACGTCAATCATTCTTTGCAGGCTTTTTCTCCACCATGCCATCTGCGATTCAATCAGGAAAAAGTAAAAGAAAAACAAGTAGCAGCAGCCACCTTAACCTTTGGTTCCTTGTGCAGGGAACAGCCACGGGCTGACACCAGCAGAGGGATCAGAAGAAGGTTTATGTGGGAGGTAACTTCCCTGTGGGGAGCAAACAAAAAGCAGCTCAGGATGGTTGTGCAGAGGATGGGAACCATGAGGCTGTGCTCAGTCTGTGCCTCATTTCTCTGAGATTTAGATTGAGTTGAGTCAGCCAGGAAATCATGAGCGAGTTTGAGCTCTTAAGAGAAAGGTGTTTGAAACCCAACAACTTGAAGTCACCTGCAAGAGGGAGGGTCATAACTTGGAAAGTGCCACACGGAGCTGTGCTTCTGCTTTATTGAACTGTTGGCTGCAATAAATACGACCAAACTCCCTCAGTCTCTAGTAATGTTTTCTTAGTACCAGCAGGAGTCCATTTAAGAATACACTGACTTGCACAAATGATTCTATATGAGGAGAAGAGAAACAGCTGAAGTACTGCTTCAGTAATGCAGTGTCCTAAAAGATGCCCAGGAGATCTGGGTGAGTGTGTGCATCCTCGTGCTTTGGTTTTGTCACTATGGTGCCCAAAGCACCCCAAGCAGAGGATCTTTTGTTCAAGTTGTCCTTCTGGCTTCAGCTGGTGAGATCACAGTTGAGATTTGCTGATGGTGCAGAAAGTTAGCTGTGATAAAGTCAATAGCGAGGAATTGCCAAAGAGGGAGAAATGGTTTTTTATTGTTATTTTCAATAGAGAAAGTAATGAGAGTCTGTTTTATAAAGAAGAGAAGGGACAAGTACAATACAGGACCTATGAATGAATAATCAGACAGAAAGACTGAACCTTGCACTTCCAGATCTTAAAGCATTAACCTCAATTGCCTGAAATGAAATGTTTGGCTGTGTTAGTCAGAGCTGTAATGGGGTTGTCGGGTCTCCCTCACATAACCACAGTTAGGAGGGGTCAAAGCACTGGGAGGCTGCTGCTGTGAGTGCTACAAAGAGAGCACAGCACTGGAGACCTGGAACTTGGGGGATTGCCATCTTTTTCTTTTGTTCATTTTCTTATGTCATTAAACCTTTAAATACTTCATGTTACAGGGCATCAGAATGAATTTACTCCTGCTTAGCAGTGCTTTGAGGAAGAAAAGTGCTTGCGCTTTCTGTGTAGCTATCCTGCTTTGCTAATATCCTCCGTTAGTATTCATTAGTTACAAATCTGAGCTATTGCATGAGGGAGTTAATCACAGTGGAAGCTTTATTGCACCTCACTTCTCGTTACAGCATTTACAGCTCAGCAAAGCTGATGTGAAATGCTGGCAGATTGGATTTGTAGACTCTTTACCACATTCAGTTGGATATTAGGAAAGATTTGAGTCCAGGCTGCCCAGGGAGGTGGTGGAGTCACCGTCCCTGGAGGTTTTCAGGAAGAAGGAGGATATCACATCGAGGGATGTGGGTTAGTGGGCATGGAGGGAGTGAGTTGGGGTTGGAGTAGGTGATCTTAGAGGTTTGTTCCATCCTTAATGATTCTATAGTTGCAGGTAGTTTCTTTCTGCTGGCTGAACCAGCTGTAAATCTGAACTTCAGGTGGTGCCAGGCTGCCTTGCAGTGTGCACTCAGACTGTTCAAGACCACAGCCTAAGGTTACACATGAATCCTCGGCACACCAGGCTCAGTAAGACCCTTTTCTCTTGCAGACTGGAGTCACCCACACGTGCACTGGTGATGGAGGCTCCAAAGGGCATCGAGATCAACGCTGAGGCCGGCAGCTTGAAAGCCACGTGCAGGACAGAGCTCAGGCTGGAATCCAAAGATGGAGAGGTAAGCAAAGAGCGTCAAGCTTTCTGGCAAACACAAATCAAGGTACAGATCTCTGCAGATTTATAACCTTCCCATTCACTTAGTACTTGAAAAACAAGTTTTAAGTCGCAGGACCATGATTCTATTCTAAAAGCACTGGTGAAGCCTTCCTAGCACAGGTTCTGCTAGCAGTGATTGAACACATCATATGCAAACAAGGCTCACTCTGTGGAGAAGGCTAATTCATTATTTTTAAAGTGCTCGGATAATAGCATCTGTGGTTCAGGCAAATTTATACAGCAGTAAAGTACACAGCGCTCCTAAATTCTTTGTTTCCTTGTCACTTTAAAGCAGGATTTACGTGTCCAACATAATTAAGTCTTTTATCATACATATTTTCTATGAGAAGAGCTTAATTCACCCGTATTGATCCAAAAAGCTTTTATAGCTGATGTTTTCATTTTGGAAAGAATGTGAACATTAGGAGACACAGGGTGTTGCAATGGGAAAACTTCTAAAGGGAAAGAGAGAATAACTAAAGCTGATAAGAGAACAGAAGTAAAAGAGGTGTTGAGTTAAACCTCTTCTGGTGTCTCAGGAGAGTGTGCACATCCGTTCTCATCCCCTCCTTCTGCCACAGCTGTGGAAGACACTGAAGGATGTGGATGACGGGAACCCAAGGAGAGCCTCATTGGAGGCCTCCCATAGGATATGAGATCTGGTACGGCCTGCTGTTTTCCTATCTTAGTGTCCTCAGTGATTCACAGATTGAGATTCTTATTGCGATTTCTGTTATTTCTAAACATTTGCATTTTAAGATATTCCAGATCCCCCTGGCAAGGAGTTTAAAACAAAACAAAGTAAAACAAAAATAGCAATAAAACTCTTAACTAATATACTGCAATTGAAATTCAAGGCATTTCATGACTGCAAGCAGTTGCCTTCATGTTTTTTAATGCTAATTTTGCTCTTTCAGGCAATTAGATGGCTGGATACTAAAACAGAAGTGATCTTTACTGTAATCACAAGATAAGTGTCAGTTGCCCTGTAATATTCTGGGCTGTAGGTTATAGAATCCTATAGAATGACTATAGAATAGTCATTTGAGTTGGAAGGAGCTCTTAAAATCCATCTGGTCCAACTCCCCTGCAATGAGCTGGGGCAACCACATCTCCACCAGGTTATCTTAGCATGCTCTTCTCAGTCATGTTATAAAATTTCCCTTTATGTTCAGTTTTATAAGAAGAAATTTAGATCTGTTATAGCTTTTAAGAAATTTTTTATATACATAATAATAATACACATAAAGATGTTACGTGTACACATAAAGCACAGATAAAAATGAGTGCTGTGAGTCTTCAAACATGACTAGAAATGAGAGCAGAGCGCCAGAAGTCCCAACAAAGGAGAGGGGTCATCACTGCATGGAGGTGAACCAAGCGTGCTGCTCACCAAGCAATGAGGGCACTGCCATCACACTCCTGGGTGCTGCAGGACACACGCTGGTGTCCCAGGAAGTTATAAGCCAAGGAAACGTAAACAAACAGAAAAAGAGTGGAACCAGTCTCATGGTAAACTCACAGACATGGATGTCAGCCTTTCCCCAGCTTCACACACTTGGCTGCCCAGTTTTTGTAGCAGCTCAGTTGTCCAGAAGAGGCCTCCTCAAAAATAACAGCTCTTCACTAATCCTTTCTCCTTTTTTCTTTCTCCCCTCCTCCGACTTCAGATAACACTGAATTCTGCAAAAATCAAACTACCTAACTTGCCTCAAGGATCTTCCTCTTCTGCAGGGTCCAGGCAAAAAATCTACGAGCTCTGTGTGTGCCCCAATGGGAGGTTATTTCTGTCTCAGGCAGGCACTAGTTCCACCTGCCAGATAAATACAAGCGTCTGCCTTTGAGAGACAATTTGCAGTGGGGCATCGCAGGCAGCACAAAAGCCAATTCTGGTCTCCTAGGTTGCAGCTGCCAACTATTTTTACTAGAACACAGAAAGCCTATCAAAGACTTTTTTTGTGTGCGCGCGTGTGTGTGAATATATATATAAAAATATATATATATATATAAAATTATATATATCCTCTGTGTAAAATGATGTTTCAGTACAAGGAATCCCAGGGTGACCCTGTTACATTTGTGTAGCATTTCTCTTTCCCACACCAAAATTTACTGGTACAATCTACTGAATTGGGCTTGATGCTCCCCTGGACCCTTCTGTAATAGTACAGTCTAATGATCACCCCTTGTTTTTGACCATGTTCTAAGAGTAGTGGGATTGCTGAGCCCGGAACCAATGTAGACCCACCAACATACTAAAAGAAGAGTAGCATCTCTGATTATTTTTGCACCACTATATCAGTGGCATGAGAAAAACAGAACAGCCAGATGTGCTCTACTGCTTGCCTAGAGTGATCCAAGACACTTGGGGTTAAACTGCGCCCTTTAATTTTCACCTTCTCAGCTCCATGGCTCCATGCTGGGAGAGATGGGTTGCACTTTGCCAATAGAGAAGTCCTAATCTTGCTGAATTACTTTCTGAAGGACTCAGATTCTTTCCTGTACCTGTAATGAATGCCTTGTGCTATTCAAATGTCACACTCAGCTCTAACCCCAACCTGAAGTCATCTCTGGGCTAACAAAAATTAGCACTGTATTTGTTCTTGATAGGAAAAAAAGTTATGAAAATTGGACTAGAAGAGAAAAATCTTGAACCAGTTTAGTTAACAGGTGTCCTGGATTACCCTACGCAACCTCTATTACCACCTTTAATTTTGAAGTGATCTAACATACCTGAGAAGGTGTAAGATTTGGAACTTACCCACCAACACCTATAGAAACAAAGAAAATCACCTGTTGAATTTCTGTGTTTCTATGGGTTTATCTGGATTTGATGTATAATATCTATGCTATGTTAGAATTTTTGTCCTCTTTCTATTCGGGACACGCAGTCCAAGATCACATACATTTTGTGGAGGTTGCAAAAGTCAGAGATGCTGACAATGAAATAGATGTTTTTTTAAGACTCTAGGAAGATTCTTACAAATTCAGATTACTGTGAAGTGAAGGCTTTGGATGCTGGTTCCTCTAGAATTCCAGCCCCAGAATCTCTGTGGTCAGATCTCTTCAAGGGTGTGTTTTTCTTACTGAAGTCAAGGAGTTACTTGAAGGCAGGATAAACCATAAATCTGATCTGGTGACGTTACCAGTGATTAACTTTTGAGGAAAAAAAAAAAATTGAAATGAGCCCAGATCTTTTAATTTTGACCCATAACTGCATCCACATGCATGTAAAAACCGTTTAAAAACCAATGTACTAATTAGTGCAAAAGGGTTCAAGTCACAGTAAATCTCATGAGGACAGCAAGGTTTCTACACCACTGAGATGCTACTGAAAATATTGCCTCGTGCAAACATGGCAGATCTGTGCCCATTCCTAGCGGTATCTGAGCAAAGCTGGTATTCTTCAAGCAATTTTCAGGATACAATGTCACTGACGGTAATTTGTAGAAATAATTTAGCCCTTTCCTTTGGAACATATTTCCACATGTTTTCATGTGGTCTGAAAAGTACCAGGGTTTGATGTTCTTAAATGATTGATTCTAGCCTGATCCCAAACTGGCTGGACTCAATGGGAAGATATCCATGGCATTTTGATTGGATGTTGCTTCCCAACAAAGCAACACTCCCATAAAATTTATTTCTGAAAGAGGATTGAGTTATCTACATATATATCTCTGATGCTTTCAGATTAATGAACAAATTCAAATTATTTGTTAATGAATTATTCCTGTAATTATTATCTTGAGTCAATGTTCGAATGCAAAGGGTCACCCAGGATAACAATTGTATTGGGACACAGGACTATACCATCTCTGTTCAAAGAGGGGAATTGTGCCTATGCCTTAAGTCAATGCACTCAGCAAGGAGAAGCACATCATATTTATCTTGTTATAAAAACTAGTTTATTTGGGGGGAGGGACAGGAGGGTGTCTTGGGAAATGGTTGTGCAACTTAAAACAGATATTAATGAAATGTATTAAGACTGTAGGGGCACCGAGAGTGACAACTGTTGTTTTTTTTTACCACGTTAAATATAGCAAAATACTGTGTATGTTACCTCTGGGATCACAAGTGAAGTCCCATTCATAGTCCTACATTTTCTATAGATTTTTTTCCCTGTTTCATTTAATACTGGTCACAGGCATTGTATCAAGCATGGCCCAATTCATAAACAAATCCCATGTTTGCAAGCACATGAGTGGTTGTGAAGATGCATGCTGCAGGAGGTACATCCTGTACAGAAAACAAGTTGGGTTAACTTTCCCTTTCCTGAAGGTACCAGTGCCAGTTGGTAGCATGGGGCTGAGCACAAGGAGTGGCCCAGGGGGGATACTGTGTCCAAATCCTTTACTCTGACCCCCAGTGCCCGGTGGTCAGTCCTCATCCCAAATACCTTGGGCTGCTCTGCAGTAATTTCACTTTGATCTGATGGTCTTTTTCATTGCGGTCTTGGATGAGATGAGCACCCTCATAACTTGGGAAGACCATGAGATTGCTTAAGAACGTTAATTCTGGTATGACTGTCTGTGGGGGAGCTGTTAGAGGACAGCCTTACACCTCTGTGCCGCTACTGTTTTCTGCAGAAAGTGAACAATGGGTACCTTAATTATGCCTAGATAAAGGAGTTCAATATATTCTACCATTTTGTCTCCATTTTAAAAAGCGTAAAATGATTTTCTCTGTGCATGGAGACTGAACCCATGCAGAGACTTGAAAAACATTTGACCCTCACTTCAGTTTTAAGACCACAGTTCAGATGATGCTGCTTGGTCTTGAGTTGGCCGTGTGAGTAATCCTCTGCTGTTCAGTGAGTGGCAAACCAGGGCAAGCAGGTTTGCATCTATGAGAGTCCGGGGGAAAGATTGCATTTTTGTTTAAAAAGCAGCATGCAGTCACATCCAGCCACCTCACAGTTCATAGTTTGTTCTCTGGGGCAGTTGTGGTGTGACTAACTCACCTGCTGGGAGAGGCAGATGATTAAGGTTCGGTTTTCCTCCTGCCTTGTTCAGAAACCACTCACAATTGCTTTATCTGTATGGGTTGGTTTTCCCTGAGTGCAAAGTAAGTCACAACATCCCTGTACATACACTCTACCTGCTGTTGATAAATGCCAAAAACAATTAAGGGTTTGTGTATTTCTTTATGAATTGGGCCTGCAGTTTAGTTCAATTGAGCATTTGCTATGAGGGGAGATGGCATTTATCTCAAATCAGAGTTTAGTTTTACCTCTTAACACTAAGGCAAGGCTGGGGTGGGTGGTGAATTTGTTCATGCTGAGCCCAATGGAAGAGATGCCAATGTCTTCATGGCCTGAGCTAAGGCAGGAGCCTGATGGGTGAGAATTCAGGGCACTAATGCCAGAGGAAACAGTGCCAGCAGCTGTGGTGGCTGTGGAGCTGAACTGACTGCACCGTGTGGGGTCCTGCATTGCAGCTATGTGCATTGCAAACATTGAAATGCTAATCAAGAGACTGTGATACTAGTGTCAATGTCCCTGAGGCAACCAGATAAAGATAAATGCTTTTATGTGTTGTAGCTCTTAACTTTACAGGGTTTTGGGACCTTGTTAAATTTGCTTTCAATGCCACACTTCAGTACTGACTGTCAGTGTTTAGCTGTACACCAGTACCTTATGCATATGTCATGTATGACCCTTCTGCTGTAAAGAGTTGGGAGGGCGGGCGTAAAGTAAAAAGATTTTGCTATTAGCAAAAGCAGAGATCCTAAAATGGTACAACCACATGTGTTCTCCACGTACCTTTGCTTTGGTTGACTTTTAAACTTTACTGAAGTGTGTTACCTGGTAGTCAGTGAAATGAGTGGCTGTAGAGTACAAAGATATGTAAAAATGAAAGGAAGTCATTGAAAAGGGGAGGCCAGTAACTGTGAAAATAGGTGTGTGACCTCTGTAGGTATACATGTTTAGAAAATGAAGTGATGTGTATTTGTTTCTCTCAGTCACATGCTGTCAAACACCTGGATTTTAAGAGTTTGTTGGGTTTTTTTTCCCCTCATTTAATCACAAGTATCACAATGCACAAAGAAAAAAGCTTAAGGCATTCACCTAGCAGTCCTACCTGCAGTACAGCAAAACAATATCTGAATCAAGAATCCCCCCTCTAGAAACTACTTGAAGGCTGAGCAGAGATTCCTATGGAAACCTGTGAATAACCTGGTCAGTTTGCATCATACCTAGTTTGCAGTGACAGGTGGTCTTAGAAGAGATTAACTTTTGTTGTCATAGCATACATGCACAAACATATATATATGGTTAGCTGCATTTGTTTTCAACAAAAGACATATTTTCTTTATTTGCAGTTATGGCTTTAAGTTTCACATTGCAAAAGACAATGAGAAAAGACCAAAGATTACAGAAATTAATCCTTTCTCTGGTTGCCCTCATACCTGAAATGCATTAACTTTAATGGTGCTTTTTGGAACTGGGCAGGAAAAACACAGGTTTATCACATAGATGCATGTGAGAGCATACAGCAGCAGGAAGCCTTTAATTTCCTTCATGGAGAGGAGTGAAAATAACCTGGAATTCTTTAGGTGTGTACAGAAGGTAAGGTTACTTGGAAAGAGAAACGTGAGAAAATAACCTAAACGTTAAGAGAGATCGTCCTGGGCTGAAGGTGTAACTCAACTGAGGAAATGTTGGTTGCTGGCTGTGCACTCGAGCATCAGCAGATGAGGATGCTGGTAGGACACACCAATATACAACCAACAATAGCACCAATAGCACCAACAATAGCAGGATGCTCCCGTGAAACCATCCAGGTCTTCAGTCCTTGGAATTCGCAGTCACCCTGCTCAGTGAAGAAGAGAAAATGTGCTGAAATGATTTTATTATAAAGAGCATGCCATAAAACCAGGAAAATCTGGGGCTGTTCTGTTTGGCTGATGGGTTTTGTTGTCTTTCTTTGTTGTTGTTTTTTTAATGTCTGGCATTTTAAATTTGCAAATGTCATCATCCAGAACTCACCTGAACAAATGCAGGGAGCGCTCCTGTCAAGCTCTGGCAATCAGGAATTGGTGCTCCTCAAATGAACACTGCAGCGTCTTCATTCCCATTGCCCTTCTTGTTGAGGAATGCAATCACTGTAACATTTCCATTTTCCCCATTGTAAGCTTTTTCATCAGCTCTGAAATTGCTGTGTAATATTTCAGTGGCAGTATTTCTGCATTGGGGTGGCCTGCAGCCCCCAGTGCCACCTCACACCTCCAAAGACCCAAATCAACAAGCATGGGGCAGCAGCACTAAGGTGAAATTTAGGCCTTTTAGGTAAATTCTGCACAACAGCTGCAGTGTTTTCACAGCTGATGCAGCCAAGTCTACAGCTGTGGCTGAAGCAGAGCTGAACACTGATGTGTCTCTGATGAGATTATTCAGAAGGAGAAGAGTGCATTATGGAAGGCAGACAGGAGGGAGAGGGAAGAAATGGCTAGAGACATCACCTTAATCATGGTAATGCAGCAAACTTCTTTGTCTGTTTACACTGTTGTACATTAAATTAATAACGTCCATTTCACTAATAATGGTAGCAATTATGTTTGATTTTCCCTGGTGCACAGTGGAATTACTTCAATGGAAGCACTTACAGCTTGGGCTGCTTGAGATGGCCAAGGTGTTTCCATCCACAATAACCACAATGGCTTGGGGCTCGCATGGAAATTATAGTGAGTGGCTTGTGTTTAGAAAGCTTTTAAATTTACTGTGCTTGAGAAGCACATGGTTATGCACAGAGAGCCCCAAGGCTTTATCATTTAAAACTCTTTTGTCCTGCCACCTGAATTGCGTCGTGCCCACATGTAAAGGGACGCACTTCTTTATACAGGAAAAGATGGATATTTAAAACTGTGGGATTTATATCCTGAGCAACAAAGAAAGTGTGATCATAGGGAATTGCTGAGATTTCCCATCCAAGTCACATTAAATCAGAGATGCAAGTAAGTCAGTCCCTTAACTTGCTGATTTGCTAAAGATGTTAATTTCTGCAGGAAAGTCAGCCCTGGTGTCACTCCAGGAAAAGCCTCACTTCGGTGCAGCTCATTGCCATGCCACAGCTGGATTTGGGGGCTGGGTGGGTGGCAGTGGGCTCCTGGCTCAGGGGGCAGCCAGATTTCCTTTGAGGCCACCATCTCCATGGACAGAGTGAGGGTTTGTTTGGTTTAACCAGTGGTAAAAAGTAGGAGGGATGTCTCCACTGTGGAGCAATACACAGTTGTGTTTATCTGTTATTCAGTTGGCCTGAGCTTTCTGACAGTAAATGTCAGAAAGAAATTTGTACAAAACCCTTAGGTTTATTTTTCTCTCTGTTCCCAAATGCTTTGAGTAACAACGCGTGACCTTAGTAAAAAGGTCTTTGTTTTCTCAGATTAAAAAAGACACTGCCAACCTTTCACCAGGTCCAGCCCAAATTGAACCTCATCCTTTCTAACAGCTCTACCATGGGCAGGAATAGGCCCACTGCAAAGAACAGTTTGTGTGCATCTCTGCATGGAGCAAGAATTTGAAGTTGCATCGTACTTTCACATTATCCCCTGTTAGAAAGGCTTAACTGCTGATAGGAGATCAAGCTTCCTGAAGCCTCATACAGCTCAATGCATCATCCCTTTCTAAAGCAATGCAGCTTCTTTCTTGTTTCAAAGATTTCCTCATAACAGAGTCCTTGAAACATCGTCAGGCAGGCTGGCGCTGTGGAGCAGAAGAATAATTAATTGTGGGTGGCTCTATTTCTATTGAAGGCTGGATTATAGTTGAAAGAATGTTGCTGTTATTTCTCCCACTCTGAGCTGCAAGCACCACACACACCCCAGCACTCTGACTGCATTCCTTCCAGGGTTGTTCCATGTACCCAGGGAGGAAGAGCCTGCTGCTTTGGGCCTCATCTGGGTCTTCCTAGCCTCATGCACTTACTGTCAGTGCTGTTCTTGATGTACCAGATAGCAAAACACAGCAGAAGTGCTAATGATTTTAAAGGTGATGTGTGGCTGTGAGTTAGGAGTAACAAAGCCTGACCTTCTGAAAGCAGAACTGAGCACTCATCACACCTTACATTTATGGAAGAAGGGCTCCATGATAACATTCCCACACAGATTTCTCCCTAGATCAGAGCTATTCCTGAGCCATGAGCCAGAACTTGTTCTGGATCTGCACTGTGCAGTACTTTGGGTTCAGGGAAGGAGTTGACCTGCTGGATCTGACTCAGATCCATTCTATTTCATTTTATTTTTTGCCTGCCCCTTATTTACTTAGTTTCTTTGTACATGAACACTAATAGAGTTGTTGATGGTAACCCAACAAATCCAAACTCCACATAATTAAACCCAACAGCAAAACACCATTCAGTGCTGAAGCAAAACCCCATTCAACCACAGCAGCAGCATAAAGGCACGACCCCTGTGATAATGGCAGTTCTCATCTGTGATGGTTAAATACCTTGTCTGACCTCTACTCTGATAACCACCAATGATCTTGATATTGTAAACAGGACAAACAAATTCTAAAGTCTTACCACAGTTCTCATTAGGAAATTCAGATTGGTTTGGCTTTTTTCTTTTTAATTTATGTATGTGTGTGGTTGTGTGGGAAAATATAAAGCTTTTTTGTATCAAATAACATCAATCCTTGCACACTCTATGCAAAATTTTGTAAGCATTGCAATAATGCTATGAATTACACAAGGAACTATTTTAACTTTATTACACTTTCTGTATAAAAAAAAACATTTGTATTTAAATGATTTCAACTGCAATCTTGTAAAATATATTAATAAAATAATGATTGTTAAGAAGGAAAGAGCTGTTGAGTCTTTTTTGTTTGCTTGAGCATAACAAATATGAATTAGACCTCAGACATTTGTATGTCTGTACTGGTCTATATGTATATCTGTAGGCCTTAAGTTGCTTCAGGGAAGGCTCATCTTGGATATTAGCAGGAAAAATCTTTCTCTGAAAAGGCTGCACATGGAAGTGCTGGAATTACCATCCCTGGAGGTTTTCAGGAAAAGGGTTGATGTGATGTGGAGACATGGTTTAGTGGGCATGGTGAGAGTGTGTTGGTGGTTGGACTTGGTGATCTTAGTCAATGATGTGTCAGGCTGGGTCATAGCAGTGATCTCTCTCACAGCCTCAAGTCCCTGGATGCTTTCATTCCCCCCAAAAATGCTTAAGAGGTAGAAATGATGGGGAAAGTTGAGTTACCATCTTGAGTAGTAGACAGGTGCATCCACCCAGGATCAAGCCCCTGCCTAACACAGTGTGAGGAGCATAAGCTCAACTCTGCCTGCAAAAGAACAATAAAAAAAACACAAAACCCACAGCACTGTGGACCATTGTGCTGCTTTAACGATCCATCAGTTTTATTTTAATTGGATAACTAATCAGATGCTCATGGGAGACTCTGCACTTGCCATGCAATCACTTGTGAGCACATTTTGCAGGAGCTGGGTTTTAAATACGAAGTTGTTCAGCCTGGATTTTGTCGGTAAATGAGAGCATTGATTGGGGCTCATTAGCTGAACAAATAGCAAGAATTCAGTCCAGCTGAAAAGATGTGCATGCCTTCCAAGAGCAAGGAGCATGAGCCTGGTTATCACAGCTGAGACATTGCCAGGGTCCAGGCTGTAGGGCTCTGTGTTCACCAGTTTGTAGGAGCCAATTTTTACCAGGTTGCAAATGAGTTCACTCTGGAATGTTTGGTGAACATGCACAGCCCTTCTCTTGCTCTGCAGGTTTTGGACTGTTTGCAGTTTATAAGAAGAAGAACAACAAAAAAACCTCACAGACATCTTTCAGCTGAATTTCAGCTGCCATTCTTGGCCTGAGTTTGCAATGTCTGACAAACTGACAGCAAAATAATTCAGAAGTTAACCCCATTTAAGCACCACACTGCCAGAGACGTCCCAGCAGCAGCAGGTGATGCAGTGCTGTGCCAGGGCAGGCAGTGGTTGCATCCTTCCTTGGGATCAACAAGCTCTCCTCAGCTGTCGGTAAAGGTGCTGTGATTTAAGCAGGAACTACTTACAGAATTCAGCCCTACGAGCAGCAAAATCCACTCCCTCAGTAATTGTCAAAATGCAACTTTTTCCCAGATTTTTTGCCATTCAGCTTTTAAGTACTTCCCCATTCTTCCTTTCTGTCCTACAGGAAATTCAATTGTTTTTTGTTGTTGTTGTTGTTGTTGTTTTCCTCCTCAGTAACAGAAAAGATTAATTAAAAAAAAAACAACTACAAAAGCAGAAAAGAATGACTGTGACCAAATTAACACATTCTATCCTCTGTAAAATGGTAACAACATCAATTTTAACATTTTATGTGCAGCTGAGTTTTTGTATTTCCAATCTCAGTCCATCCGGTGCAGCCAAGTTGCTGCTGCTGAAGTTCAGTTATTAAATCAGGGTGATTATTTTTATTTTTATGAACAGAAACCAGCAATGAGAAGTACTTATTTTAACAGGTTTTCTCCAGTGCTGTGACCTTGATTCTTCCATCCTCGAACTGAACAGAAAAAATCCTCTTGAATTTAGTGATGAAGGATCAGACCTAAATAGCTCCAGTGCCAAATGTATCCCACAGGAAAATTATACGGCCTCATTTAATAGAGAAAAAGCAAGAAGTGTGGCAGGCAGCTCAACCCTGGCTTTCTTCTGCAGTCAATCTATAGTCCAAAGCAGTGGAAACAATCTTCAAATATTTGATTCATGCTATCGGGCAACTGTAATAAACATTACTGATACGATCTGCACTTTTTAATGTCGGGGTGTGTGAATAGCCTCTCAATACTCCACGTCACCATACAGCCAAG